ATTCAGAAAGAGACAGAGAGAGAGAGAAGAGGGGAGGAGTTGATCTTGCGAGAACTTCCGGGCGGGTGAGAATAGCCACTTTCTTGTTTTCAGTTTCAGGCGACTGAGTCAGGCAATCGGCCCAATCCAGTCGTAGTGGGCACCTCGTATTAGAGGAACGAAGGGGTAGGGTCAGGAGGAATTAGAAATCAGGGGAAGGGCCAGAGTAGGATTAGAATAGTAAGATCTAGATTAGTAGTCGGTAGGGTAGTATTAACTCTTAATTAGAGCCCGAGAAACTCTCTGACCGGTCCGAAACTTATCGATGTGCCGCCCGATAAATCCTTTCTCCGGTCTGTGAGTCACAAAAAGTGAGCCTGAGCCAGGCACTTCTAGAGATCTAGGCGTAAACGTGTGTGTTAAAAACTTCTCACTCGCTCTAAGTTAGTCTAAGACTACTCTAGACGTGAGGTAGATCTAGGCTACTCTGATTGCTTTCTGTGTGGATATTTTGTCATTGTTGGGACCTATGGGTCTTTTCCTTAAAATGATTAAAATGGCTGATGGGGCCAGGCAGGGTATTTTAAAGAAATCGTTGAGGTTTTTGAGTTGGTGATAAAGAGAGAGGGGGGAAAGGTAACATAATTTGAAAAGGGTTTTAAGAAAGAAAATCCACGCCGTTTCAAACTTCAAAATGTAAATCTGAGCTTCAAGACATTGATTGAAGCCACTGAAATAAATTGGCATGGAACAAGACTATGGTACTAGAAAAAACAAACTCAAAGTGAGAAACAACCGCCTCCTAGCCGTGCCCCCTTTACATGATCACCCAAAGACCTACTTTTCACACACACACATGCAGTCTCAGCGAGCACTCGCATCATGTACAAATATGAAACCTGTACGTGTGCTTTCAATTGATACCTTTCCGATGACGCTGTCCCTTGCAGAGGGAGTCTAGAATCAGATACTGTACACTGTACCAAACACACAGCCACACACATTGAAAAAAATGCTCTCAGAACACAGTTCTAAGAGGAGAACTGTGCCAAATGCTAGTTACAGAAATTAGAGTCAAGCTGGGATGAAGGTCGAAAAGGGAGGGAGGGGGGTGTATTGTTTTAGGCCGAATGGGGCGCTTCCCTCTCCTCACCTCGTTAAAATTCCCTCTCCTCACCTCGTTAAAATTCCCTCTCCTCACCTCGTTAAAATTCCCTCTTGGGTGGAGCACAAGATTGACGGCCCAGGGTTCAGGCCAAGTTTACGTAAGGTAACTCTGGGAAGTAGGCGATGAAGAGATCACCAAACAGAACCACTGATGGCTTGAAATTCAATAGAAATAATTTTATGCTAACAGTAGATGTACAAGCAGTGATAAGAAACAGGTTGAATAATAAATGAAACTGATGAAATTATGTTTAAAAAAAAAATTATTTGTACTGCAGCATGGGTGCCAGACCTCCGGGCCCAGCCCGGAAATCCGGGCTGACAAAATTTCACAGCATCACTTTCCGGGTTGCATCGGGTCTTTATAAATGAAAAAAAAAAAAAGAAAGAAAAAAAATTAATCACCGAAAAAAATTTGGCCGGTAACGATCGAGTCCGGCCAAGCGTAGTGGACTTTTAAAAACTGGTATCGCGATATGCATGCAAGTTCCGGATGCGATATTTCGTTTCGTCTGTCTGATCACCGGAAACGCCGGTGACGGGATCGAAAGGATAAATAAATTACATGGCTCAAATAAGGGGTGAACGCGTCTGTTGCGTCCGATTCTTAGAAAAAAATATAAAAAGTTCTGCAATCTCTTTTGCTTGGAAGCACCGATTGGATTTTTTATCGGCAGGAACTTGAAACGCTACTTTCTAAAGCATCTATGCCGAATCTAGTAGATGATTCACGTACGTTATTTCAACTAAAACCGACGTAGTATCGATTTTGAATTCCGACATGGATACGCTCAAGATCTACTTTCGCTTTTATAATCCTGAATTCTCTGATGGTGTCCTGGTTACTGTAACAATTATGACATAGGCCAAAGAATAATCTATTCGTTTTTCTGCCGTTGCTTTAAAAGCAAGCTTCGTCTGAGTTCTGGTTAGTCGTGCCCGTCATCAAGACCTGTCGGTGGAAAGTTCAAACGCTAATTCTCTTCACGTGACATGACCTCGTATGTGTGAGTAGCGCGTGTTTCGGGGACCGTCGGCTGTCGGGGTCAGAAAAGTTTATTCAGACCGGTCGCATTGGTCGAGGTGTTTTTCGGGAGGGGAGGGGGGTGGGGTATTGTTTTGACACTTGGGCTTAAAGTGCGTGCCCTGATACATGTATTAATTGCGGACAAAGTAAAGGAATAAGAAAAAAAATGAACAACCTTGGTGCGATCTTTTCTTTCGGGGGTGGGGGGGAGGGGTGCCTTGAGTTTATATGCGATGGAAGTCAAACGTTGTTACTGTATGAAAACGCGGGCTTTTTGCATGGATGAGAGTTGTGTCAGCTATTTTCAAGACTACGACTACGTGAGTGTCAGCTTTACTGCAACTTGCGTTCCATCCGTCTATCCAACTCTGACTCGAGTAATGCTGTCTTTCAGTTTTCCCTTTATAAAGAGGCCCAAACGTGAACTTATTCCTGCAAAAGTTTTCTCTTGCATACTTGCCTCATAAAAGGCGAACAGGAGACACCCCCCATCCCCCTTTCCCCAGTACCATTTTAAACCTGATTTGCCGTTGATCCCGAATTTTTTCACCAGATCCTGATATTTTTTACTCGAAAATCCTGATTTTTAGATTTCATAGAGTGGCAGGTCTGCTACCGCCAACCTCGATAAATTCTAATAGATTTCTAAATCTGTGCAAGCTCTGTTTGATTTTTGAAGGTGAAGTTTCTAAATAGACCTGCTTCTACGGAGGAATTGGAGAAAAGTGTAAAAAAATAAGTGGCGTTGGCAATGGTTTGATGAAATTTTCGACGATGTCAAAGTTTCTGTGTGGTGTAGGAAAGTCGAACAACCCGGTGCATGCTTTTGCCTTAGTCAGGCAATCTCCAAGACCCTTAAAAAAACTAAGACCACCAACATAACTGCCTTCTTTAAGAAAGCATGAGCTTGGACTCTGCCTCCTTGTGGATAAGGAGTAAGAATGGTATCCACCTCTGGACCCTAGCATGCATCGTTAAAGGCGACTAAATGGTTCAACGAGCAACATACAGACGGCAAGGAAGGAAGAGTTTTCATTTTTTATTTTTTTTTCAGGGTTGGGAAAATTTTGGATCTGGGTTTTCAGGGCTGGAACAATTTTTCACTGGCACCCATGTACTGCAGACGTGTTCTTCCTTTGTCAATTACAGAGAGGCCAATAGGCAATTAGAAGCGGTCTTTTAAGCCCTCTAGGCAAAGCCTGGATTCGCCAGGTAGGCTCACGCCACACCGGGTGGGCGGGGTTGGGAAATGCCTCGCGTGCAGAAGTTCCACATGGAGACAGGGGCGGTTTACATACGAGCCCCGGTGATAAAGGAAGATGAAGGAATGAGTCTCTGTAGTGAGACAACACACCAAAGAACCACTATTGTCTCTAAGAGCACCTTCAAATAGCCGAGTGCTTTTTGAATCTTGATTAGATATTTATGTGTATTTCCTTGAAACTAAATAAAAATTATCGTCAGCTATCAATCTCTTGTCCACTGTACAGCCGACAAAAAGTGACCAATGCTGTTGGTCTTTCCCAGTGAAAGAGCCGCCCCTGGTCATTGACATTGTCATTGTCATTTCGTTTAGGCCTGGCGTGCTGTGATGACCACACTCATACTTACCGTGTTGTGATGACCACACTCATACTTACTGTGTTGTGATGACCACACTCATACTTACTGTGTTGTGATGACCACACTCATACTTACTGTGTTGTAATGACCACACTCATACTTAATGTGTTGTGATGACCA